CAAACTCCCACTTACACTGTCTATAACCTATATAAATCTAGAGATTCGGCAAGTTTCGTGTACCCTTTTTATAGGTACCGCCGAGTGAGGTTACTTTGGCCTAAAATATGTCAATTTCAAAGTTTATGGAGTTTTATGGAGAAAAATTAAAAATTAAACTGTTGTAGTTTTTTTGTTTATGGATATATTTTTATCAAATTTGGCAAATTATTAATTTGATCCGATGCTATTAAAATGTGAGAAAAAATCTATCTACCTCCCCCGTGAAAGCAAACCTAGGTACTCGTTAAATATACACAACAGGTATTCCATAAGTTGTACAATTTTGCATAGCCTTGCCCAATATGATTTGCACCCATGGTATCATACCATTAATTTAAAAGAAAGATGATTTAAGTGATCTTTGAGGGGAGAACAGTAAACACTATTAGGCCTCTTTAAACCAGAAGCTACATTGTCGTCATGTTGAGAGCAAAAAGTATTACTGTATTTAAGTATATGAGACCCGCTTAGCTTGAGTATATCCCGTACATCTTTCTTCTTTTCCTCAAATGTGCGTTTCATTTTTGAGTCTTTGAGGTTCTGCGGAGTTTCTGGCATTGATTTTGTAGGCTAGCCTCTTCAACAAACATCATATCATATTATGCATTCCTTGACGTTTCCCTTCATGTGTATGTGTCTGCCAACGCCAAGAGGTCAATGCAAGTAGTGTTGATGTTGATGTTAGTGTGACGGTGGAATAACAATCAGTCATTCGCGTGGTTGTTGGCTGTCGCTACATAGCTTAGTCTTACTCTATGCTCTCCATACCTATAAACTAGATGCCTTGGTTTAGATTGGGTCTCTATTTTTATCTACGCCTACTTTTAAACATTGCAGTCAATATACAAGATAAAAAACGCGTGTTCTTTAACAGTGCGACTCAATACTGTATTTTACTACTGTACAAACCCCAGAAAAATTTATTCAGCGCTAAGGTTAATGCACAGTTACTACAAACAACTACGGAAACCAGACCAACTGACATGAACATATTATAATTCAAGTTATAAGCGGAAGCTTTGGAGGAATTACAGAATCAAAATATCACAGCTCATATTTAAAACATGGCTGATAGTATCCTATAAGATGACAACCATACGGTACTTCACTAAACAAAAATACGTGTGGAACTGTTCTCTGATAAATTTCATGTAACCTCATAAAGCCTGCATCAAGGCAAGGCCAGTTATACAGTTAATAGAGTTAAATACTGTATAAAATATTTTGGAATGCATCAATAGATTGTTTACTTGCATTAACGTAAACGTTTATAGTTTATAACCTATTATTTAAGGTTAGTTAGGGCAAAAAAAAACTTAAAATTGTACACCGTACACTTTTAGAGATAGTTACAGTTGTGTAGAGATAGTTAAACAGCAATTGCATTGCTTTCAGACTTGCAAACTAAGATCGAAGTTCTATACTGTATTCCATCCTGGATTGATAATATTAGGACCAAAGCAATAAAGATTGAAATCTTTGATGGATGATTAACATAAAATATATTGAATATGATTAGCATTGAATATGATTGCATATGAATATGGTTAAATATGGTTAGCATGTATAATTAACTTTTAACTGCATCATATACAACACATAGTTTTTCAATAGAAAATATATAGTCTACTCAAGTTCTAATTTATAAAAAACAAGGTAATTGACCGTCCGAAGTTTAAACAAAATGTAAACACATCGACTGGCTATCTGTGCTTTTTAACACATTGATCGTGTGCACGCATTGAGTAGCTGTTAGTAAACAATCACGTTTTTCAACAGCTGTTCCAAGTTTGTTGCCAGATGGCTGGTTATATCAGCTGATTCAATTGTTGCCTTATATAGACTCTACCTCGCCAGCACGTGTCTAGTGTTAGTGTTACACATTGTTGACAATTGAGTTTCTTTGTTTTGTTTTTTATTTTCATTGATGGTTATGACTCAGCCGATTTGTTGAGTTTACGTTTAGGGAGTGTCCTTAGAACAATAGGGATTTGTCACAAGGGCCGTTATTGAACGCATAACCGAGTGAAATACTCTTGTCCGTGTTTTACAACTGTAATTACGCTGTTGTGAAATGTCTATATTATGTAGATGAAGGTCTTGTTAAAGGTATTACAGAATGTCTGAATGGCGGAATGTCTATTATTTATAATAATCATTTGAAAATAAGTTTTTGTCACCATGTTTTTGGGAGTGGTGGTTCTTTCTTTAATCGTAACTCCCAAATACATGTAAGAGTTAATAAGACAAGTTTTATGCACAGTTCATTTATTACCACCTTACAACAATAGATGTACAACAAAGACGGGTCTCTCAATATCAGATAAAAGTCCAAAGTTGATAATCTCGACAATCCAATTCAGAGTCTGGTGGCATGCTAGGAGCGAGGGTTGAATGGTCAAATAACACACCGGGGATTGGCGGCAAGTGTGATAGAAAGGGCGCGTAACTAACTTGTAACAGTTTCTGTCGTGTCTGATGGGAATTAAACCTTCACAGCCAGGTGCTAACATCGGCACGCCATTGGAGACACAGAAATGACCGCGGAAAGTGGGCCAACAGAAGCAATCGAGCCATCGACCTGTGGCAGTGGCTGGCTGTGGCGTGTACACTGTACAGATCAGCTGAGATACTGGAACGATGACCGCTTCTTCCCGCCATAACTTACAACACTTCCGTGCTGCACTTCCCTTTTATTTTGTCAGTTTACAAAAGAATGGTAATTTACTTATTAGATGGATTAAAAATGAACATGATATCTTGAACGTGCTTGAAGATTTCAAAACGATAGATTATTTCGGAATATGATGAGGGGGAAGCTGGATCAGAAGTTCAGTTATATAGCTGGTTTGATTTGACATGCCATAGAACCTATTCAGTTTGGCACAATAAAATAAGTTTAATATATAAGCTCATATATTCTGCAGAGTAGACGGCTCGAGCCTGAGAAGGTCCCGGATGAAAATGTAATTCATCTGGCCAAAACTCAATAGTAACTTTTGAAATGGCTTGCGATTACCATCGCAACACTAAGTTATAAAGAACTTCTCTAAAACAATTAAGTCCTAAACAGTTATTAACTGTGTATAGAGATACAAATATTTAGTTTCTCAATAAGTCATTAGAGACTCTTAAAAAAAAACTTTCAAAAAATGACACATTTGACATCATAAAACCTCAATGATACCACACAAACAAATAGTCATACAGTATATCCACGCAATAACTCGTTTTGTCGGATGTATCGTTACCAAATAGTACATATACACTTGGAGTATACAATGTAAATAAACTATTTAACGTATGAGTAGGCCACTATTAAATATATGAGTTTATGAGTTCAGTTAAAAGACCTAACTAACAATTGATAAACATACTAACCTGTCTAAGTTCGAACGCAAAAATGTTTTCTTTTTGGTTTAATCGGTGGGTGACATTCATGAACACTTTATGGTTATTTCCATAGAAATGTTTGCTAAATTCAACTCATAAACATGCTACGTACTTAGACGCGGCGGAACACCGATCTAGGGCAACGTAATTAATTCATATTGAAGGAAGGATAATTTAGCTCGATGGACTAGAAAAAGTTATTTTCGTGTCAACAAGATTGTCTGTCAAAGATCGATAATGCATCGAGGCCACTGAAGCATCAAGTGTTTGTATTTCACTAGGCTACTACGTGAAGCAACAAGTCAACTACATTTATGTTGCAAGTTATATGTTTTAAAACTACAAATATTTTAGTTTTCCTATGTGCATGAAATCATTGGTCTTGTCATTAAGAACCATCGCGTGATGAACCTTAGAGTTGCAAGCGGTAGAGGACGATTAGATGCATTGCCCTTCTACTGTACATGGAAACACGACATCAAGAGGTTGTTTTGAATAATAAACTACAATTATTGTTTCCAAGTTTTATTTCTAAGCTAAATTGGTGATTTTACATGTACGAGAAAGCCTACGTCAACAGATTGGAATGCTGACAATGAACCATGCATTATTATTTGTCATTTAGGATAGATGTCGGTACCCCGGTGGTAATGAATTAGTATAACAATCTCGCATTGAAATACCATGTTTCGATCCTAAGGAAAGATCAATTTAGTTCTCAGTCATTCCTGTCTCTAGTAATTTCTGACCGTCACACCGTCGTTGTCTGACGTAAAAGTTGAACTGACTCGGAAAAAATTTCAGTTCAACTTTCGTTTACAGAGAGGAATCAAGTTTTGTTTAATATTTTCAATTCAAAAGCCTGTGCACTTCCAACCGTTAAATGAGGTAACATAGGTCGGAACACAGTCGTTCCTTGAATATTATCTTGCCATTGCCGTTTGTCTAAATGTTTCAAAACTGTTAGGTTAACATTCTTTATTGAAATCAGGTATATCTCAAACATACAACGTCATATATCTCAAACGTACAGTATAGTTTTCTAGGTTACAGTAGTATGTCTCTAATCTCACTACTGCAGTAGCTACGTGTAATAACACACTACTAGTAGTCATTCCCTCAAGTACAACACTTCTTGGCCCTAGATAAGCTAGTTACCCTTATCATCTTCTCTTCGACAATCGTTCCTTACTATTTTGCTCACTCCAGTCAGACTACTCGGAGTCAAGCGTTAACACCACTACAGGACTCGAGCACACAATCCTTCCCTCAAATAGCAATTTGGATTTGAAACAGCTTGTAGACAGGGAAAGTAGATACGACAAGTTGGTTGCAAGTACTTGCAAGTGCTTGGTAAGTTGCAGAGAGCGATTTGTCGTCCCTACTGTCCATACTATGAGCCACTTTAATGTGTTGTGTGGTGTTACAGAGGGAATGCATCTCGGTGCACATCGGCCAGGCGGGCGTGCAGATCGGCAACGCCTGCTGGGAGCTGTGCTGTACTGCCTGGAGGGATTGTGTGCTGGGGTCCTGTAGTGGTGTTAATGTGTTGTTTGGTGTTACAGAGGGAATGCATCTCGGTGCACATCGGCCAGGCGGGCGTGCAGATCGGCAACGCCTGCTGGGAGCTGTACTGCCTGGAGCATGGCATACAACCTGACGGACAGATGCCGTCCGACAAGACGATCGGCGGCGGAGACGACAGCTTCAACACCTTCTTCAGTGAGACGGGGTCCGGCAAGCACGTCCCTCGGGCAGTCTTCGTCGACCTAGAGCCGACCGTAGTCGGTCAGTTTAACCATTTTACGTAGTATCTTTGACTGATAGTCAATGTAAGTATCCTAAGAACACTAGATGCAGCGTCCGCCGATGTTTTAACCATTGGGATTTTACTTTAAATATGCTAAATTGAAGAATATACTGTACAATTTCAATTTAAGAAAATTGAGGTTAACTGCAAAATTAATTTGTTAATTAAGGAGTGCTTTCCATAAATAGATAATTAAGTGAAGTGAAAACACACAAGAATAAGAAACCTACTCAAGTAAAATTTAAAGTGCACGAACTGCTTCTATGTAAATTGTTTAACACTGTATTGAAGCATACAAATAAAAGTAATAAAATAACGTTGTATATATCTTATTAGGTCAAGTCAAACTCGCAAGGTCCTAATTTAGGCTATTAAAAGTTCTTGGAATTAAAAAATACTCCTGCTGTTTACTCTTCTTGCGGTTTCAAATCATGTCCTCTTATAAATATTTAAAATTCCAATCGAGGGATAATGTTGCAAGGTTATGTTAGTATAAATTTGTAATTTATAGCAATACTCCGAGAGCATACAAATTAATATGGATGTTAAGTAAGACGATTCTGGCAAATTATGTATAAATAACTTAACTATGTTTCTGATGTATTTTTTTGCTGAAATCGTCTAACTCCTCATGAATGGATGCATATCCCCGTTATATTGACTGAGAAGCAGCAGGTGAAATTGTTTCGTTGAAGCGGTAACGTCATGCATAGAAAGATCGACGTCGGATAGTCTACAATGTTTGAGTAGCAAATGATTACGAGGCACGCACTGAGCACGCGGCACAAACACACGCGTTGCTCCCCACGTTGTATGTATGTATGCTTCTCTCATTGTGCAAAAAATAGTAATAGTATATTCTATATAATTATAGCCTAATCTATACTTATTTAATACGCAAGCAGGATTTTTGTGACAATTACTCCTCCGAAACTACTGAACCGATTGACATGTTTTTGGTGTCATTGGAAAGAGCGTAACGTGAAGTTGTGCAGGAAACTTCCTTTTTAGGTAAATAATTAGAGAGTGAGGCCCTGGGGCCCTTTGAAGTTTCGTATTTCTCCATAAGATTAACATGGGAAACAATCATTGTTTTGAAACTCCAGCTGTTGTTGCTAAAAATGGAATATTAATAATTGGTTTCCATGGAAGCATTAGAAAATTCACAATGTTTACAATTTCTTTGATATTTAAATGTAAACAACCAGAACTGCCAAATGCCTATTTCACAATTTCAGACAGCTGAAAAAATAAAACAACTATGTGGTAGGTTTATTCAATCTTAAACTTTATGATAAATTATTATTTTAGTCAGGTTGGGTAGCAGGAAAATATTTCAGTTCTGGCAGACAGGCTGCAATTTTAGGTGGTCATAGTATACAAGTTTCTGAACATAAAACCACCCAGACCCCAATTTTTACGGACCTCGGTCGTCCGTAATGACGTCATCAAAATGGCGGCCGTAAGAGGATGTTGAGTCCCCATGAATTGGCTATAACGACCGAATGCCTTAACCGATTTTCATGAAATTTGGCACACAAGTGCTTGAATACATTATCTCGGCCTGGGTTGAAAATGGTCAAGTTTCATCAAGTCATTTCAAAATGGCGTTCATTCAAAACTAAAAAAATTATGAGGAAAATAATTGTGAATTGTTTTATACAGGGTGAGTTTTAAATGAGTTCCCCTCCCTACTTTTTTATACATTTCTTAAGATATCAACTCCGAACCACGCCAGATAATTGTAGAGTAGCAATTACTTCATTTCGACTAGTTTTTATTTTATCCGTTTTTTGTTATCAAGCTTTCTTGATAAAATATAACAATTATTTTGATTTAAAATGTCAATATTTCAAAAACCAAACATGACAATGAAAAACGGATTGCAATATTGAATTCAACATAAAAAAGTAGTTCAAAATGATTGGTCACAACACCCCCTTCATATTTAAAATAATTTATCACATTTCAAAATGGCGGATCCAAGATGGCGGCTGAAAAAAATACATCCGTCATAACCGAGTGAAAATAGGTCAACAATGAATGGTGGTGTCCACTTATCTTTATCTAGCACTATTTTGAGATTATGGCCTTAGTTTGTAAACGCACAATGTTATAATGGACTAAAAATAAAGTTATAATAAGTTCTCATAACTTTAGAATGGATCAACATTTTTTTTACGGATTGCAGCATCGTATTCAGCGTAAAGGTTTTGTTTGGAACGGTGGGTCACAACCCTATCTTTACATTTGAAAAAATATTTTTGTATCCAAAATGGGTAGGGGGGAACTCTTTTAAAACTCACCCTGTATAAAACAATTCACAATTATTTTCCTCATAATTTTTTTTAGTATTGAATAGCCGCCATTTTTAAATGACTTGATGAAACTTGACCATTTTCAACCCAGGCCGAGATAATGTATTCAAGCACTTGTGTGCCAAATTTCATGAAAATCGGTTCAGGAATTCGGTCGTTATAGCCAATTCATGGGGACCCAGCATCCTCTTACGGCTGCCATTTTGATGACGTCATTACGGACGACCGAGGTCCTTAAAAATTGGGGTCTGGGCGGTTTTAGGTTCAGAAACTTGTATACTATGACCACCTAAAATTGCAGCCTGTCTGCCAGAACTGAAATATTCTGCCACTATATGCAGCTATACGACCCCACTATTTTCTTATAAATCTATTTCAACGATTATGAAACAGATTATTCCCGTTGCGAAGCAGAAATTTAAAGTGAGAAGAAAAACATATGTTAATTGTTAACAGTCAATGTGTAAATTATCTATGTTGTATTAAAAATGTGTATAGTTTTGGATGTCGGTTTGCGTTTAATGATATAAGTTATTAATTATTGAATTTTTATTTTAAGGATTTGGCATATGAGTATGTCTATGATAAATAACACAATTTCAGAGTTCTGTCAGTTTTTGCCTAACTCTATTCTGTAGAGTTTAAAATAGCCTACACTTTATTGTCTACAAATTGGCTAAATAACTTAGGTATGGTACATTATAAAAGCTGGCAGCCTTTTTTCGTTGACTTACCTTTTCCCGTCCATGTGAAGTTTGATATTTAAAAATTAACCCTTTAAACTGGAATATAACTGTAATGTAAATTGTGAGCATTTCCGTTAGTTAATAATCTTTTAGTCGACTCTTTAAAAATCATCGGAAATTATTACTGTTATTAGTTTTTAAACAAGTCATTTGTTTATAGATAACTCCTGTACTTCTCTGCAATTGCTCGAATTTGAGCAACATGTACACTAGTATATTATATTCTGAGTTTGCGTTTATATTCTGATGACAGATAGGCGATATTCTATGAGATTAATCCACACCAAATCGCAAAAATCAGATCAGTCAATACTCTGGTTAGTAACCTGCAAAATGAATCAATCTGTTGTGCAAAGTTCTGTGAACTCGGTCCATAAATCAGTTGGTGTTGTGAATAAAGGTGTCAAATCACATAAAGGATCGCGAAATTGCGGGACCGAACAGCTGTCTTTCCTGTCCTGGTTACCAGCCTTGATAGAGAATTAGACTCGCATGATCTACCGATGTAGGCCTTCATCGACAATGTGACGTTGTTGCTTGGATTATTCAATTTTGCGATATTGTTTGTTGTTAAAATTTATAGTTTTTCAATTAAAAATCTTTTACAATAAGGGCAATTTTTGTTAATACAATACATAACGGTACACACCAGGTGAATCATAATGAAACTGAATCATGCCTTCATTATCGCCCCACATACGTATCAATTGTTATAATATTTATATGATATGCTTCTGTCTAACTGACATTGATAACTAATTCACATTAAGAACCAAACAAATCATGTCAAATATATTCCCAAACTGAAGTGCGACAACTAACCGATTCGCGGTTAACATTTATAAACTAATATCGTCGCACATTATAAGATGTTAAAACCTGCTTCCTGTAAGCATTACTATTTACCAATCTGTAATCTATAAATACGTGCAAATGTTGCTTCTTCATACACAGCAACCACATGTGGGGTGTTGTAGATGAGGTGCGGACAGGAACATATCGTCAGCTGTTTCACCCCGAGCAGCTGATCACTGGTAAGGAGGACGCGGCCAACAACTACGCGAGAGGCCATTACACTATCGGCAAGGAGATCGTGGACATCGTCCTGGACCGCATCCGCAAGTTGTCGGACCAATGCACGGGCCTACAGGGGTTCCTCGTGTTCCACTCCTTCGGAGGTGGGACTGGCTCTGGCTTCACATCCCTGCTGATGGAGCGACTTTCCGTCGACTACGGCAAGAAGAGCAAACTAGAGTTCTCAATCTACCCGGCCCCTCAGGTAAAAGGATCGGAAACGAAGCCTAAAGAATCTGAAAATGCCTACCTAAGACTCTGTCCATTACTCTTTCGGCTACTGTGATAGATCGTGATAAGAAATCTTAACTCAACTTTCACGAAAATAAATGGCTCATGGCTTTTTAATTTATAGTGCATAGTGTAATATGCTAGCCAAAGATAGCACATGGCGAAATAGTTTTCCTTATGCATCGTCTTAATTTTGTAAAAATGTATAAACTATAATTATTTTATTACTGTTCTGTGTTCAGTATACGTATGTAGATTTTTCGGATTAAGTCTTTGGCGTGAATTGCGTTTTGAAATGGACGTTGTGATGTTCTATCAAAAAACTACGTTATGTAGCGATTGGCTTTTCCTGTTGACAAAAACACGTATCCTTGTAAAGCTGTGCGTGTATGTAATTCAAGACATTTTACATTTTTCAGACTAAAAAGTAAACTTAAATAATACAGAATGTCCCGTGCAGTACCTAAATATTGACACTTGGATCGCGTGCTTAGCACAATTCCGTTGTAAACCTGCGACCTTCTACTTTCACCACCAAGATACTCAAAATGATTTATTAACTCAGTGAATCAGAGGTAATTAAAAAACAACATGCACTGAAGAAATAAATATAACCTTAAGCTAAGCCATTGTGAATTGACAGGTTTCCACTGCAGTGGTGGAACCCTACAACTCCATCCTGACCACTCACACCACCTTGGAACACTCGGACTGCGCCTTCATGGTAGACAACGAAGCCATCTACGACATCTGCAGACGTAACCTGGACATTGAGCGACCCACCTACACCAACCTCAACCGTCTCATAGGGCAGATAGTCTCATCCATTACAGCGTCTCTGCGCTTCGACGGCGCTCTCAATGTTGATCTCACAGAGTTCCAGGTTAGTAACATGGCAGTAAATTTAAGACCTTAATTAAATAATCAAGATTGTCACATCTAATGCTTGTTAGCACTTCCCATCCTTTTCATAAGGAAAGGGTAGTCTTAGGCATACTCCACGGCGAGCTTTATAAGTTTCAAGTATCCCGGTTTACGTCATAAATCATGTAGTAACAGCGAGGGTTTGTCCATTGCATTTAAACCAACATTTGAGTGATTGCGCATGGACCCCTCAGCACCTTTCACCCTTCCAAAGTCACTAGTTTAGTTTTATCCAGATGAAATTCACTTTACACCTCTATTGGATCATCCTCTTTTGCGCCGTCCATGATACATCGGGCTACGTGAGAGCTCGGTGTATTTCTCAAAGTTATTTAGTTTTCCTTGCATAATTTTAAGACATCTTGCTTACTAAACACTTTATTTCTTACAGACCAACCTGGTCCCCTACCCCCGCATTCACTTCCCCCTGGCCACCTATGCACCCGTCATTTCTGCAGAGAAGGCCTACCACGAACAGATGACTGTCGCCGAGATCACTAATGCCTGCTTCGAGCCTGCTAATCAGATGGTCAAATGTGACCCGCGTCACGGCAAATACATGGCCTGCTGCATGCTTTACAGGTAATTAACTAACTGCTGAAACACAGTGGAAAGAGTTATCTTATAGAGGGTATTCTGATACAGCAGTGAGCTATTAAAACTATCAAGGTGTTCTCACAATGTTAAGGTAAGCTGATAGCCTTGATTTTGTTTGTTCATTGGTGTTTGATGTAGAACCCCAAACTGTAAAACCTTACATGATAACGATTTATTTATTCTATGCCTTGCATACTTTATATGTTTAAAAAAAATACCTGCTTTTCATACATCTGATTATGCTCCCATTGAAAGTGTTTATCGGAGTCCAAAATATCTTGAGCTTGAGGCCTGCCTTACTACACTTGACCTCTAAAGTGGTTCTTTGTTTCAGTAAATTTTTGGGGATGGTGAATTTATTTTATTTAAGAAACTATTGAGGACATTTGCCATGTCCGCAATTTGATTCTTACATACGTATTATGATGGTAAATATCCTCTATTATTACTTAAAACTTGTTTGATGTTTTTAAAGCAGTGGAAGATATACTTCTCTATCAAAAGTTCCATTTACAGAGGCATGGCAGGAAGTATACACATTGATATGACATTTATTACGTCTTAATAACAATACGAATTTACAAATACATACACATTATGCTACAAACTAGACTACAGTGACTTTCTTCTTCCTTTAGGGGTGACGTTGTGCCTAAGGATGTGAACGCTGCCATAGCACAGATCAAGACCAAGAGATCCATCCAGTTCGTAGACTGGTGTCCAACAGGTTTCAAGGTAGGGAAAAGTGTGACTGTGACAATGCTAGATTAGTCCCCCTTGAGTGTTCCAACCACGCGCGACACATACACGGACGAGGAGGAATGTTTTGACGCGGAGAAATTTAATCGATGAACGAACGATCTTCGCCGACGTTGGCTGCACCTGAAGCTGCTAGGTTCCGTTAGTTGTGATTGCTTCTTTTGTTGCCCATAAAACAAACACTAGATAGTATCTGAGCCTAATTGCGTTTTCTTCGGTACAGTCGTGGTTTGTAGTGCAGTAACGACAATCATAGAGATAATTCCGTCTGATTTTCGAAGTTTTTAATAGAACAGTATAAAGATTGTGCTTGATAATAGCTTATATTATTGTTGTTCATTACAACATAAAAGATACAGGTTATAGATTTACTGTTATTGCACCGTATCTTGATTAATGTGTAATCAAAGTGTATATGTATATTACAAAATATATTTGTATATTTTTACACTACTTGTTGTTTCTCATTCATATTAAATAAACAAAGATCGTTAGGAACGTTAAAATTATTAGGTTTCCTGAAACGATTGAGTTCGTTCTTATGATAAAAATTAGTTAACTACCGCACATTTTTGTCCTTTTTGTGATTTTTGAAAAGGTATTCATATTGATGGTTGGGTATTAATGCTGCACTACGGGTACGTTTTCTGCGACTACGGTTGTTCAGTTTTATTTCGAGTTCTTTAAAGTGCGACGTAACCCTAGGGGTAGGTCCTATTCTATAAGATCCATGAGAGTAAGGAGTGGACTTAAATTAAACAACTTCTCTTTACAAAAGAGTCGATATTTTGTCTTGCCTACATTACAGCCTTACAGTTGCTTTATCATTTTATGTCAGTATCTTTTCAGCCATGGTGTCTAACGACTCAAGGAATTACGTTCAAGACAAATAACTATGCATTGCGATAATGCAAACCTTGTAGTTTGTTCATAAGCCCAGCAAATATCATTGCTCAGGGAGGCATCATAACCTCTCCCTGAATAGTTGATACAGAGTCATTCTAATCTTGCAGGTAGGTATCAACTACCAGCCACCCACAGTTGTGCCTGGCGGGGACCTAGCCAAGGTACAGCGAGCCGTCTGTATGTTGTCCAACACCACCGCTATAGCCGAGGCCTGGGCTCGCCTGGACCACAAGTTCGACCTGATGTACGCCAAGCGCGCCTTCGTCCACTGGTACGTCGGCGAGGGGATGGAGGAGGGAGAGTTCAGTGAAGCCCGCGAGGACTTGGCTGCTCTGGAGAAAGACTACGAGGAGGTAAACCCCCCTTTAACTCTGGACAGTTAAGAGGTCCTTAAGTGTTTAACCATTGACTCAAGGAATGTGCTGATGTCAAAAATTGATTTTCTCCATTCGTTTTTTTTAGTTTTAATTTTATTTATATACTCGATATGACAAAGAGATGCAGTTGTCTCCTCTCGGTGAGTCAGTAGCACCAGGGACTTCGGGCTCAAAGCTGCAATGCCGTGGGGTCTCATCTTAGTACAGTACTTTCCCCTACTTTTTATCAGTACAATTAGTTTACCTTCGTACTGTACCTCCTACTGCACTCCTTGGTTTGCTTGATATGTTCCACGGACATGCCTCTGTGGACGGACAAATGCAAGGTAAAGAGGCCGCAAACCTAACAAAACGTCCGTCAATAGGCAAAGTTATAGAATAATGTACATGCTCGTTGAACAACCTAACACGTTGGTTTATAATAATCGATAATATTGTCGAATATGGACATTTGCCAATGATTCACTGTCCCATATGTAGTTTCTGAGTTGTGTCTGTGTCTTCGTTTTAACCTAACCAAACATACCCCAATCCAATTAAAAATAACCTAATGATTAAATTGAGGATAATTATAACATTTCAACCCAAAAAACACTTTATGTTTGCAACTGTCTTGATTTATTTTTATTTTAATGAAATGATGATGAAAGTTTGTGTATTTATATATTTCCCACGGATTATGCCTACACCAATTATACTTGAAAAGTATTAAAGAACTACATATCAATCCATTACAATAGATCAATACTAGTTATTATTGAAGGTATCAATACTACGTAGGGTATTCAAAAGGTGAATTTGTATATCAGAAGATGTCTATTATAACTCCACTAATAGGCAAATTATCACTGAATACTATTTTTATTAAACGTGCTGACCATTTATAGATGGTATTAACGACTTTACATACGTAATTGAAGAACGTTCTCACCTTTTCTCAGCAGGTAGTTTTTAAAAGCTAGACGTTAGGGAATGTTTCAGAAGTTGAAACAAGGTGTGAAATGTATTTAGCCTAAAAATGTTCTATTCGATTTCTACAGAGACCGGTAAACAATTAAACTCTATACGCTCTAATTGAACTAGCTCCCTTTGAAACCCCGATTAGTTTTAAATTTAAAAAGGAAATTACCAAAACTTAATTAGTTTCCTGATAAGAGGGTGTTTTATTTTATCAAGGGCCACAGGGCCCAGCTAGTTGGAATATAAAATATAAATCTCAGTTAAATTTAGCTAATAAAAAAACCTAGGTTAGAACACGTGGCTTATGTACTGAAAGTCGGATTCGAATCCCGACTTCAGTATGGTCATGTATAATTTGTTTCACCCTGTGGTTCATAGCCCACTTTAAGCAATAGGTTCGCCAATTGAGTAAATAACGGTAAGGGGAACTGGGTTGAATATATCACTCTTCGAATAGTTTTCGATAATTTATTTAATTAACCTCTTCTGTCGACAGGTCGGCGTGGACTCTACTGAGGGCGAAGTAGAAGATGGCGACGAATACTAAACTTCAACGTTCACTTGGAATAGAAAACTGCATTAACTATGGCGAAGTAGAAGATGGCGACGAATACTAAACTTCAACGTTCACTTGGAATAGAAAACTGCATTAACTATGGCGAAGTAGAAGATAGCGACGAATACTAAACTTCAACGTTCACTGGAATAGAAAACTGCATTAACTATGGCGAAGTAGAAGATGGCGACGAATACTAAACTTCAACGTTCACTGGAATAGAAAACTGCATTAACTATAAGTATTAGCCGAGCTTAATAAACAATGACCGTTCATTTTGGGGACACAAGGACGATTTATGTACTATATAATTTAAGATAACCTTACTTTACGTTTAAGTGATTGTAAATAAAAAGAATGATCATGACAATCTTTATCCGGTCACTCCCTAGAGTACTTTGGAAACCCTTAAGACTTTAATATTTATATCGATTTAATACGTTTAAAATATATTCTAGGAAAGTCACCTAAAGTAAATATTTACTACCTAATTAATGTCTAATTAAACTGTGTACTTTAATTTGATGAAGAATAATTAATTCGTAATTGAAATAAACGTTGCTAACGTAGATAATCAATATACAATACTAGTGTAAAACCAAACAAAACCTTTAATATTCCTATTAATTAATTAAAAATGTGACTTAGACTAGAATATAAGTTTTTGTCTGTGAATGTCTAATGTTGTAATATTGTAAGACAATTTTTATATCAGCAAACACCAAATGTTACAGATAGATTATAAAACATGAGTTTTATGTAGTTGTCGCTTTGTTGTGATCTAAGTTGTTATCTAAGTTGTTATCTCTTAAGGACTAATTACTTATTAACTTTCGGTTTCGTTACAACGAATGTTATTATTAGTTATTTATTTGCTGCACTGATAAAGCGTAGTGTGATAGGGTACTCTACAACAAGCGTGTTCGTCAGCACTAAGATATATGTTGAAGAGCTACTGTTGCCTTATAATACTATACTGCCTTAATAAATGTTAAGAAATACTATACGGTATGTATATTTTATTTTCCTCGTTTTGTTTTTCACTTTCTCATATACATGGAGAAAGTATTGTTTCGTCAAAATTTGCGAGTTTGAGTTTTGAGTGTATATATCAGTTTTGGGATCCACTGAAGCAATGTGTGTGCGTGTGTGTGTGTGTGTGTGTGTGTATCTTTTACGAGGTTTAAACTGGCGACCTTTAAAGGTTATGCCAACCTTGCAAGACCTCAGTTTAGTCCTGTTCAACAGAAAATATTAAACGTGGTTTTAATTTGTTCCTCTGTTGGTCCTTTTTTTTAACAGTTAAGTTCGTTAAAAACTGCTTCAGAAGCTAATAGGGCGATGTTTGCCTATAAGATATCTAGCTAGACGAACAAGTTATTAGCAAAAAATGAATGTTATTACACTAAATTAATAACTTAAACAAACTACCTTTTTTACATGAAAACATATACAATTTTAGAGAGTATGTTGGTATTCTCAGTTCCATAGTACTGATGGTTACTACAGTAATACGTTTCCTGTTGTGCATCAAGCTGAATAAACTTGTTAACCCGTTGGACTGAGAACGCTGTGTGAGTGTGACAATCATTAAACCCTGCTTAAAATGAAATCAAAACATAGAAAATATTAAACACATTATGATTATACAGTGTGTAAATTAAGTCTTGAAACAAATTTGTATTTTAAAACCGAAATAGATAGAAATATTCAGATTATAGCATTGATTCTTAACAAAGGTTCCGCAATTTTTTACACCAAAATAATTGTTTAACCCGCCTAATAGGGTAGGGGGTGAGCGAGCTGGCGTAGTGGTTAGAGCGCGGGACTTCAGTCCCTGAGGTCCCGGGTTCGATCCCCGTCAAGTCACCAATGGATTTTATCTAAGTGATAATGCCGCAACCCCTAGGTCTAGCCTGAAGTAATGTGAAAAACAATCCCAGGCTCGTGCCTAGCGTCCTTAGGACAAAAAAAAATAGGGTAGGGGGTGACTAATTTTCAAATAGCAACCCCTATTAAGTGACCTATTAAGAAACACAATGACGCAAACCCGAGGTAAATATCTCACCCCTAGCCAAAATGGCAGGTATTCCAAAATTGGTGTTTTTTCGCATAAATCAAATTTTGGAATACAAACCATTTAGGCTAGGGATAAAATATCTACCTCGGGTTTGCGTTGTTGTCTTTCTTTTGACAACCCCTTCAAAATGAGGGGTCATCACTCAATAGGGGTTATTATTAATTAAAATAAATCACCCCCACCCCCTACCCTGTTAAAGGGGTAAAAAATATTGTTGATGTAAACAAATTGCGGAACCTATATTAACAATCAATTCCATAAACAGAATATTTTTATCTATTTCGGTTTTTAAAATACAGATTTGTTTCCATATTTGTGAAATTGGTGATTTTTTACATGCAGTAAATCAAATTTTGAAATACCTGCCATTTTGTCTAAGGGTGAGATATCCACCTCAAGTTTGCATCATTGTGTTTCTTTTGACAAATCCTTAAAAATGAGGTGAGGGGTCATTGAATAGGGGTTGCTGTTTGAAAAAAATAAGTCACCCCTGCTTAGGTTTTTTTAGGGGGGTTAAAAATATCTTTTATGTAAATAATTACGGAAACTTTGTTAACAATTAAGGCTACAAACAGAATATTTTTATCTATTGCTGTTCAAAAAATACAGATTTGTTTTAATACTTAATTTACACACTGTATACACAACCTCCGTAAATGGCAATATGACCTGAAATTAATAGTGGTAGATGGGAGTCTCGTCCCTCCCGCACCTAAGGCTAGCAACACACAATGTTGCCTCATATTCTAAACTAGCCGCAATATCCGTGCTTCGCAACGAGAAGAGAACGCTAAAGAATCATTATATTCTATAGATCTGCTGCATGAAAAGTTATTAACTCGTAATAATAAGGTCCACAATTTTGATAACGCACCGTCAAAATCATTTTCAATTAAGTGGTTTATATCAATTTGGCATTTCTAATATTGATTTTATAAATAATAATGGCATAGAAAAATTGCAAGACGACAGGGCACACCCGTAGAAGAGTAAAAATACCCCAGACTAAGCAGACTAAGCGAATTTCCATTTGCTTGATTAGATTTACACTATAAAATATCTCATTAAAAATATCTCGAAATTATTTCCTATTTAAATAGCATTATTTTAACGAGTACTTAGGTTTGCTGTAACACGGAGGTATTTCACAATGGAGGTACCCACTGTCACTTTGGGTGACGTAGCTCAGGAATGAAGCTCAGCACTCGCTTACAAAATCCAACGTTATTAATTTCTCAAAACAACACAAAGAACACAAAGATAAATAACCACCAAAAAGGCAGGGAACTGTACAAATCATTTAGTTAGAAACTGAAACCCCAACTTGGAAAAGACTCTAAACCCCAAATTTGGTAAACCCTCAACACTGGGCTCCAGCTCCCCCAGCAGAAGGACCCTGTCCTCTGGTGCACCACACTCACCACTCACACGAAAACTGAGCCCCAGATCAAATGCACTCCACCCTACTCACACAACATTGCCAAACCCTTCCTGCTTACAATGTTTGACCCCTTCCCTTTAAAAGTGTTTTATTGTGAAATGTTAATACAGTATTTAGTTTAGTATGAAATAAATGCATTTTCCAAATTTGATCAGAATATGTTTATATACAGAATACAAACAAGCAAACTACAACAGTTATTTATTCTCCATAAGAAGAACATTGGGATTTTAAATTTAATTGTTTTTAAATTTTCTCCGTAACCATTAGGCGCACAATAATGCTTCAATATACTAAATAGTTTTTCAAGCTCTACAAAATGTTTTGGAATGAAATTGCAAAAGTTTATGTTTTTATGGTAAAAAATAACCACTTTTTACCCCATAAACCCCATCGGATAATTTTTGCTCGAGTTATCTTGCTAACGGACACATATATATGAATTTGAACGGACGGTGTTCTTGGCCTCTAGGGACCTCAAAACAAATAAGTAAATCGGCCCCGGGTCCAGGTTTTACCATGAGTACTACGGTAATAGCTTATTCCCTGATATGGGAAATTCGCTATAAAATTATGTACATTAAGCCTGTGGTATGTTGGCTCTATTCATCGAAAAACATCTGCACAATTGGTCAAGTAGTTTTCACGTTATTCACATACCTACTCCAAACTTTCACATCTATAATATTAGTTATTTCCATCCAAGTCAGTGACTTTATCAGTAATTCACTAATAGCTATTTACATTACAAGTGTAGTAAGAGCGTTTTTACATCACGCAGGTGAATGTTGTGCAACTAGCTGTATAAACAGGCTACTCCGTTTCCTAGATATTATTTTTGGGGGGAAACAAACATACAAATACAATAAATCTTTAACTTCTTGATCAGCATCGTACGTGTTATTAAATTACCTGAAAAAAATATATATACGTCTTAACACCTGTGATAATATATTTAAACTTATACTGTTGACTCACAAGGCGGTAAATAGGGCCTACATATAAAAGTTGGTAAGTGATGATCGATTTCGATCGGACACTCCAATTATCATCAGACCCAATAGGCGAATCAATAGCGAATATATTTACACTTATACTGTTGACTCACAAGACGGTAAATATATATAAAAGTTGGTAAGTGGTGATCGATTTCGATCAGACACTCCAATCTTCTTGTGAGTCAACAGTATAAGTGTAAATATATTATTACATGTTTTATTAGACGTATAATTTTGTTTTTTAATAAATCTTTATACATTATTATGAAAAAAGAAAGTCTTTAAGTTGGTGTGATCTGAAGAAATATCAAGGGGTGATTCGATATTCGTGTAGTTCATTGTTATACCTTTAACAACAACAAAGTCCAGTAGGTCAGGTATATATTTCGGCCAGTTGGTCAGTAAGTAGGCAAACCTTAAGAGATACAATCCAAATCAATTTCTGTTATAGCTCTGTGAAGAGTTCTTCCTCTTGGAGTTACTAGTCTCGAGCCCCAGTGTGTGTGTTTAGCATTATAGTCCCCACCCGCAATAAATGTTGGACCAAGTGTTGAGAAAAAGTCTCTAAATTGATCTCTACTTATTGCATGAGTTGGATTACAGTAGACAGCCGACAGTGTAAGATAGGTGTTATTGCTGCATTCTACAACTATACTGGTGGCTTGTAAGAAATCATGATGTTCACAGTGTGTAGTGTTTTAGATTTTGCACACTGGTCAGCAGTTGAGCTCTGTTATTTGGGTGCTTAGTAATGTAAACAATATAACCAGGAATTTTGAAGAAACTTCTATCAGTGAAGTGGGTTTCAGAAATGAAGCATAAGTATATTTTTTGTTGAATTATAAACAATTTAAGTTCTTTTAAATATGAATACTCATACGGTTAACAAGGGAAACTGAAACTCCAGAACCACTGGGGTGGAGCCCGAATGGAATTTTGAGATAGGAATAGGTTGTTTGTTAATCGGGAATGTAAGCTACAATCATGCAAAAAATCAGCCCAATCCGACCAGTAAGAATGCGTAATTGAGCCCCAAACAAACAAACTTACAAATATACAAACATACACATTCATAATACTATATATTAGTATGATGTATAATATGACAATCAATTGTCTCTATCTATATTAACAAAACAGAATTGAAAGTTAAGTTATTCCCATTTCCTTGACTCAAATCATTTCAGAAGTATTGGTGGAAACCATTCCACGTTGGGCTGTACCCGAAGACATCAATGGTTGTTTAGATTTGTTTAGATCATTTTGTTTAGACATCAAATTTGTTTAGATGTAAAAACTGTGAACAGAGATCCAGCCACAAAACAACCTATACCAAAGAGTATCTTTTGAATTATTGGCTTTAAAAAACAATACACTTTTAAGTCGGTATATACAAACTTCAATTGTGTCTTCTGGTTTTGTCTGACAATGTGCCAGAGCCCAAGTTGACTATGACAGGTGCGTGGGAGTAGACGTGACTCACGA